TTAGCAGCCTGGTCTCTGATTGGCTGGAGTTATGGCACATTGTAAGGCAGTGTTGTGTTGCGCACGCGAGCTGCTGGTGTTTAGAGCACTGAGGGCATCAGGTGAGCTGCACGCGCAGAAGAGAAGGTCTGCACACATCCAAAAACTTATTTTAAATGCAACATTGATTTCCGTGCGCTCGAAAGACTTTCTTCTTTGCGAAACGAACATGTTCTCCACAAACTCAGTTCACGCGCGCGTGCAAAATGCACTTTTGTGCGCTCTAAATATGATCTTAATGTAAGCCCATGAGGAGGAGGCGAAAACACTCCGCTGGCTGTGTACGTGTGGATTCGGTAGTAACGTGACTAAACGCTTCAGGACGCGAGAGGTCGCATCCACACGCTGAAGTGTCGAGGTGTGTCGTGTATCCTTCAGCTGACGGAGCAATAGCGTGACGCACGGCGGGCTGTTCAGACATCTCGAGAGATACAGATGTAGCGTTAAGACCCGGGCTCCTGACGCGGTTGTGAAGAGTTAAAGGAAGGATATGTTCAGCTTGCGGGTCATTATGACAACACCAAGCTAAAGGTACGCGAGAATGATGATCACTCATTATTATTATTATTATTCTAGTTAATAAATCACCTTCAGGTGTAAACAAAAGCACACTACTTTTATACAGTATACTGTGTGTTTAGGGGTTTGTGTAATGTATCGAACAGGCCGCTGACTGGAATGTAGCCAGTTAAGAACGTTACTTTGTTTCATTTGTTGCATCAGTAGTTACCCACATTGATCTCGTAGTTGTTTATATGTCTTCATTTGCTCATTAAAGGCCCTTGAAAGGTTATGGAGTGCATACGTTTTCTTACAAAAACTATTTGGATGGTAATGTTAACAGTCATTCAGGACTTTAGTTCAAAAACTCGGGAAGTCTTCATTTCAAACAATATATAATTAATTAATTTAAATGAATGTTTTTAATAGACACATTTATAGCAGAACCTCAAGTAAACTACATGTCATATACAGGTGGGAGCTTTTTCTGTTTAGTACTCAGAACGACTTATTAGCCTACAACACCTTTAAAGGGGTCACATGATGCGATTTCTAAGTTTTCTTTCTCTTTGGAGTGTCACAAGCTCTTGGTGCATAAAGAAGATCTGTCCCTTTATTTATACAGCGTGTTTAACCATGCAGAGTGTGTCTAAGCAGCTTTACGGTATCAAATGGTAAAATAGAGATCAGTTATGCAGTGTGCAGATAAACAGTCACTCTTTGGAGGAACTTTGTCTGTGTGCTGTTTTAAGTGAACAGCTTGGGTTTTTCTGCTTTGAAGGTGCAGTCGAGCACATGCGGAAGCGCACGCTTCCTGTTGAAGGCAGCAGAAGTGAAGAGAGGTTTTGGTGCTCCGCTATCATGAGGACAGCCGTCAGACAGTGGCATTATCAACCCAGGTAAACCGAGGACATGCTAATACTAGGATGCTTCCCTACCTGGAAACCCTTAAAGGATGAATTCACCTGAGAGTGATGCTGTGAGTTTGAGCACGTTTAGGTAACGGACCCTTTTTTTACTCCAGCAGAAGGCTGCTTCTTGCTCTTCTGAGCTTGGCGTTGATTTTGCTGGCTCTTTTGAAACTGCCTGTCCTTCACTCGGACCCAAAGCCTGTGGAGGTGCCAGTGGACCCCGTCTATAGAAAGGTGCGTCTGTCTGTCTTTTCCATTATCTTTCCATCAGATTCAGGAAGTATCTGCACCGTGTCCGTGATCAACTCAAATGAATGTAGCTTCGATTGACTTCTGTGGCATTGATTCACAAAATAGGTCGGGTGATGTGGATGGTATTCGTGGTGCCAAATTCAGGCGCATAAAAGCAGAACACTATGGTTTCAAGTTCTGTTGTTGCTAATAGAGTTCAGCAGAACTTGTGACCATATTGGGCTAACGATGCTTCTGAGAAACACCGATCTGATCCGATCCGATCCGTCTGTACCTTTCACACCTCCGAAGTGATACGAATCATGAACACTGTCCTAAAACTGTGTGCTTCCACTCGAGTGTTGGAGTGTAATTGTGCCTATACATGAGTTTAATTATGAATTGATATGATATGAGTGATATTTGTGATACCACTTTTGTTGTCTTGTCTTGATAAACGGTGATCGTGAGGTTGAGTGAACTGAAGGATGTGACCAGGAGCTCAGTATATAGTCATGTCTGGAGTAATAAGGAACCGACCGTCCTGTTTGAAGGGCGAGAGGACGAGTGCTGTCTGCTCTGCTAAAGCATATGCTAACAGCATCGTGTGATGCTTGAGGTCACACAGTGTGCAGGTTGTGAACAGTGCTGGCTTTGGTGTCAAGGTCAGAAGTTCAGCGTTAGAAGTGCACACTACTGTATGGATCGAAATAAGAAAGCAGAGTATGGAAAAACATTTGATTCCTGGCTATTTCCCCGTTCTGTTTTCAAATATATCCAGCGCCCGCTGCCATCAGCTCCTGCGTCTCACACACACGAGCGCGACTTTAGCACTAGATTTAGCAACTTTCAGACCCTTTTAGCGGCTTTCTTCCAGAGAATATTCATGCTGCCAAACCTCGAGTCTTTCGTGGATAAAGCTTAGCTATGGTTCAGCTGGAAGATTTCTCCAGTGCTGTCCCGCGAGCGCGAGGTCTGGCTTTCCCGGAGAAGTGTCGCCTCTCTCGGCGTGTGTTCTGTGCAGCGAGCGGCAGAGAAGCACCGCAGCCGACTCCTCAATAAATGAGTACAACACAGCGTTTCCAAGCACCTGTCGCTTACTGAGTGTTAGGAATTATAAATATGAGCGTAGTTCATCTGTTAATATCACATGCACTTTTTTTGTTTGTTGTTGTTTTTAGTTTGTTACTCAGACGCAGACAGTGCGCTGCACGAGACAAAAGAGTAATATAGCCACAACAACCGCTCTTTAGTGTAGATGCATGCTGATTTTATCAGACGATGCTGTGATTCTAAATGAGAGTGACTCCTGGTTAACATGCATTAAAAGTGGTCGTGTTTCGTCACTATTTAGTGTGGTATTTTTGGACAATATTCACTCATCATGACAGTAAAATAGAGCATTCTAAGTCAATATACTGCAGTATTTCCTCTCAATCAGTACAAAAAATGGTTAACACCCGCTCATGCATGAAAAAAAATACCGTCATGTACCGTGAAACCGGTATCATTTTGAAAGATACCGTGATATACATTTTTGGTCATACCGCCCAGCACTATGTGTAGTATAAATAGGCACTTTTTTTCTGCACTGTCCACATTTTCACGCAATGTCTGTCTATGCATTACCGCCAATGCGTGAATTCTCATTAAATCTCACGTGTCAGGACTCGATTTAAAAACTTCCCGAAGGCACAAGGCGAGACTGAATAACATTTGTAACATTAATAATGATTAATCTGTATTTAATGTATACAGTTAAGACTATGCAGTGTAACTTTACATTTGATTATTAAATTTCTGTACCTGGAAATTTCCTTTAGACCTACCGGAAAAACCTGAAAAGCACTGTTTATCTAATTTGTGTCTTTGTTCTATTGTATTTATATTATACTATTGCTTGTAATATATTATTTAT